TCACTTTATTTCTTTTATACCTTGTTTTCGAGTCTGACTTAAGAAGAGAAGAGAAGAGAAACAAAGAAACTAGAAAAAAATAAGAAATTATCTTATTTTGAGATTGTTTTTGGGAAGGAATTGGAAAGAAGAGAAAATATCTTGGTTTCTTCCCATTCTTTTCCTTCCTTCACTAAATTTCAGAAATTAGGTGTTACAAGCAAACGTACAAAAGAAACTAACATAAATTATTATATGATAATATTAGAAATTTTAAGGATGTTTGAGATTTAATTTAAAAATAATTTACTGATTTTTTTTAAGTCAGTAAATCAAAAAAAGTGTTAGAGGATATAAAAAGAACTTTTGAAATAATTTTTTATCAACCTTTCAAAAAAGTGATTTTAATATGTTATGATTTTAACTTTTTAAAACTTGTTATGTTTTTTTAGGTTGTGAAAGATATAAATTTTCCTTTAAAAATATATAAGCTAAGATAGACACTTAACAATAAAATAAAATAAAAAACTTATTGACTTTTCTCATTAACAAAGTTAATCCAAACATTTTTTTAAAAACTTTTTTATCATCACCATAAATCAATAATTTTTTTTTTTTTTTGCATAAAAGTCTTTTTAAGATTCAAAATGAAATCCCAAATACTACAAATATTTTCGAAAATTAGGAAACATTCTTTTTGAAGCTAAGAACCAATAGTGCATGTTACCCTAAATCATAGGGACCATTCGTGTAATTTTTTTTTAATCCCTCCTCTTAAGCCCTCCACATCAACCATCATTGAAGTCATATTTAGAAATATCAAGGTGAAGATCAAACCATGTATCCATCGTTGAAGTGAGATCTAACTAAAACACCAATCTACAAATGTGTGATAACGAATATACCTAGTGAACCCCAAGACCGAACATAACCAATAAATACAATAGAACTTGATAATATATTTAAGATCAACATGATTGGTCATATATACATATAACATAATTCTCTTATTACAAACAGTAGAACTTGATAATATATTTAAGATGAATATCATTGGTCGTATATACATAGAACATAATTCTCTTATTATAAACAAGAATTATGTCTTGTGTATTTTTCTAATAAAAAATTATATGTTCAAGCTCGGCACATGACCAACCTAATGGGTATTAGGTTCAAAAAATAAAAAATTAAATAAAAAACTTTTTATTTACCGACAAAATATGAAAATTAAATTCTTTAGCGAATACACAATAATTTAATGAATGTTAACACGATTTGGAAATTTGCGTTTAATTAGTAGAGTAAATAGCATAAAAAACACTAAGTTTACATCAAAATTCTAATTTGACATCTGTGTGTTTTCTAATTTTTTATAATTCTGACCACTTGATCTGTCAATTTGGTTACCTGCTGACGTTGTATGATTACATGTCAGTTTTTGATGACGTAACATGCTAACATGACATGTTGACGTGTTAAAATTGAAACTTTTATCCCATAAAGACACTAAGTTTTTTTTTTTTTTTTTTTTCGATTTTGACACTGAGTTTAATTTTTTTTCTTTCAATTTTGATATTCTTTTTTTTTGTTCCAAATCAAACATCGTTTTTTCAATTTTATTCAATGTTGATCATTTTTCATTTGAAACTGTAAAAATATATTTTTTATCACATTTTAAACCGTATAAATACACTTTTTTCCATTTAAAAACCATATTTTTATTTAAATACAATGTCTTTTTACATTTAAAGCATAAATATGCATTAGTTATATCATGAGAACCAAATTAACCATAAATTTCGAATAAAATATAAAATTTTTACAGGTTGCAAATCTGACCTCAAAGCCTTGATAGATTACATGTCACCAAACCTCAAAACTTATTTTAAAGTTGCTTATTTAATATAAAATATAGTTTTTATATAACAATATGTATTTATACATAAAATTATGATTTTCAATGTAAAAAAAAAAAAAAAAAAGTTTAAAAAAAAGGACCTTGTATTTATACAAAAACATAGTTTTTAAATGAAAAAAAATATATATTTATACGATTTGAAGTGTACTAAAAATATTTATATTGTTTCAAATAAAAAATGGTCAAACATTAAACAAAATTGTAAAAAAAATGATGTTCAATTTGGAAGAAAAAAATAATCTTAAAATTGAAATAAAAAATTAAACTTGATGTCAAAATCGGGAAAAAAAATTTGAATTTTGCGGAAAAAAAATTCAATTTTGACACATAGCATGTTATGTCGGCTTGTCACGTGATCAAAACTGACACGTCGGTAGGTAAATAGGTTGACCAGTCAAGTCATCAGAATTAGGGATATCATAAAAAACAAAAACATAATAACCAAATCGAACCAAATGAAGTTTGGTTCATTTGATTCGAGTTATTTGGTTTTCAGTTAATTTGGTTTGCTTAACCGAATAATGATACCTTATTCGGTTTGGTTTTTTGTTAAATTTTCATTGTTTTGGATGACTTTTTTAGTTATTAACCAATAAAAAGTTATAATTGTTTTATATTTTGCATTAAAAAACAAAAATAAATTAACCAAATAACCTTTAGTTGTTTATTTAATTTTCATATAAAATTAAAATTATATTAACCTATCACTACAATTTTGAATATAATATTTTATAAATCAATATAGTTTTTTTTGTTTGGTAATAGTTTAGTAACTTTTTTTCTTTTAGTTTTAATATTTATTTTTACATATTGAATTTTATTCGGTTTAACCGTTAAACCGAACATAATAAACCATAACCAAATAAATCGAATTTTATTTGGTTTGGTTATTGTTAAATTTAAAAAAAAATAAAAAAATAAAAAATAAAAAATAAAAAATAAAAAAAAAACCGAACCGTTTTAATTGAAAACCGAATAACACCCCTAATCGGAATTACAAAACTTAAAAAATACAATCTCAAATTTAAGGAAAAAAACGATGTTAAATTAAAATTTTGATTTAAACTGACTTCTTCTATTTGGGTATTCTGCGTTTCTTCGTAGAGTCGTTCTCCTACTGTATCCCCAAATATCAATTGCCCTTCCAAAAACCCTATTATCGTCTTCGATTACCATTCAATTTTTTAGGATTTTGAACATTCTCGTTGTATATCAAATTTATATCCGTAGATACGATCCACTATAGATTGGATCATCAAAACGCATGATAAGTACTTGAATAATTCAGGTAATTTTTCTGTTTCTTATTCTATATGTTTCAACTATTCTTATTTGCATTAGAATTTTTCTCGGATGAATATGAAATTATACTCATCTGAATCGAGTTGAGTATCAGTATATGCTTGATCTCGATTCTAATTCATCCATAAAGGTTAATTCCTTGCTGCTTGGGTTGTAATTGTTCTTTAAATCTCTAATGTGTTTGATCGGAGTCAACTGCTCGTTTGATCTTGGTTTCTCTATGTCTAATTGATGATACTACTATTTCTTTTCCTTCAAAACGATTGATCTATTAAGCGTTCAATTATATAGGGCGTCTTTGTGAAGAACCTGCGTTAGCATCTCAAACAAATTTCTATTAGCTTAATCTGCTGTAAAACTCTTGACGACAGATCTGTAAACGAATGCTTGTGTGATTGATAGCTTCTCAAAGTAAAGATGGTGAAGCTGACAATGATTGCTCGTGTCACTGATGGCCTTCCGCTAGCTGAAGGACTGGATGATGGGCGTGATATGCAGGATGCAGAGTTCTACAAACAGCAAGTCAAGGCATTGTTCAAGAACCTTTCAAGGGGACAAAACGAAGCCTCAAGAATGTCTATCGAAACTGGCCCTTATGTTTTCCAGTATCCTTCATTTACTCTAAACTTGATTTCTCCTTTCTACTACTTTCAAATTGTCCCATTCCTTAACCTAGTTTTATCAGCTATATAATTGAAGGGCGAGTATGTTATTTGACAATGTGTGATCGTGCTTATCCAAAGAAACTTGCCTTCCAATATCTTGAAGATCTAAAGAACGAGTTTGAACGTGGTTATGAAAATCAAATCGAAACTGCTGCAAGGCCATATGCTTTCATTAAATTCGGTAACTTTACCTGTTCTATATTTCATTTACAGGTAATCTCATTATGTTAACTAACACTCTGTTCTTCCATTTGTTGAATAGATACATTTATACAGAGGACTAAGAAACTGTATCAGGACACAAGAACTCAGAGGAACATTTCTAAGCTGAATGATGAACTCTATGAAGTTCACCAGATTATGACTCGTAATGTGCAGGAAGTTCTTGGTGTTGGTGAAAAATTGGACCGTAAGTTTTTTCTCTTTAGCCTTGATTTTTAGGGTTCTTAGTTGAAAAATCTATTATTTCTTATCCTAAATTAGATTTATAAACTGCAGAGGTGAGTCAAATGTCAAGCCGTTTAACATCAGATACTCGTGTATATGCTGATAAAGCAAGAGACTTAAATCGACAGGTTGGTTATAATTTGATGAGATCTTTATTCTTGAAGAATATAATTTTGGGGTGTAAATGTTAAAACCTTATGTTGTGTGTGTGTGTGTGTGTGTTTAGGCTTTGATCAAGAAGTGGGCACCTGTTGCAATTGTCCTTGGAGTTGTTATCATACTGTTCTGGCTCAAAGGGAAGATATGGTGATATATCATGGCATTGGCATGGAAATGTTCTTCCATTTTTAATTAGTTCCATTTACAGAGGGGTTTTAAGTTAATTTCTGTTGCGTTATCCATCTGCACCTTCAAATGGAAATTTTTGTTTTTATATGAATTTGTTCTCTTATATTATGTCTGTAATGTTTTTTTATCAAACTCTTTTAAATTTATTCTTAACATACCCCTTTTATTTAACAGTTAGTATTAAATACTATAATTGCAACAAAACATGAAATCAATCCAAACTTTATTTAAAGTATACTGAACCAAGCATTTGAGTTCTTATCATTTTGACCTACAAATGTACTTGTCAAAAAGTTGCATAGCTTTTTACAAACTGAGATCTGATATCTCTCAACAGTTCACAAATCCATCCTACCACTCATATGAGAGTGATGTGGCATTCCAATAGATTGAGGTGGCAAATGCAACTGGTTCATATACGGGTTCCTTTGCATAGGATTCATACCAATACCATGATAACCCATCACTGGAAAACCAGTGATATTACCAGATTGCCCTCCAGTAACATGTGTTTTACTTTCATGTACCATCCTGTTAGCCATGATAGCAGCAGCCTGTGCTTGTGTTAGTTGTCCCATTCCCATCATCATCATCATCTTCTTCTGATTTTGAGCTTGTTGCTGTTGGTGTAAGATCTGAAGTTGTGGTGGCAACCCCTTATAATCACCCAAGTGGTGAATGTTTGAATTCGAATGAGGCAGTGGATTTGATGATCTTTGGAGGTGGTGTTGATGATAAAGAGATGATTGTTGTTCAGCTTCAAGAACTGGTTGAATCTCAGTTTTGACCAAGTGTCCACGACCAGTGTTGGGTTGACCACCCTGGACATGGTCAACTTCTACATGATGTCCCTCACGCAACATCTGCATCAACAAAATTATAAACAAATTGCTAATTTCTAAAGAAAATGTCATGAACTCGATGACATACATACCTGGGAGCAGAACTCTGCTGCAAACAAGTCCGCAGTACGCTGTTTGACCAAGTCAAACCGTAACACAGAATGATGTCAAAATTAAATAAAATTTAAAACCAAAAAAAAAAAGTACTCACTGTATTCGGAAGTGTATGAAGAAGTTGTTCTTCTGCCAAGTCATCAGAATCATCCAGCTCACCATAATGCACTGCGACAGTGCCACCACTTGTTTTTTCAGATAACATCAGTCTAGTTCGCAACTTGGGAACCAATCCATTTTCTGAATAAATAAATGATGAACAAATCATATAATAATTAAGGGCTACTTGAGTACAAATTTTCTAGTAACCTTGTGACACATAACCAGCCTTGACGAACTTCAAAATCCTAGTCTTGCAGACGTTCATGCTCCCACCCACAAGTGACATGGACAGTGGCATTTTACTTTTACATGTTTCATCTTTCAAACTGTTGTCGTTATCCTCATCATTCAAAAGACAATCAAACAGCTGTGGAATTGAAAAACGTCTACTTCTTTTGTATCCATCCATATTCTTCTTTTTTCTATTCCGCCTAACCCTGAAACACTAACAATAAATCAAAATATGCTCAAATTACCACATATATATATATATATATATATATATATATATATATATATAATTCAGAGACAGAAAAACAAATGATACCTTACACCCAACATCTGGAGTTTGGAAAATCTATCAAACACACTTCTATCAATCTCTTTTCCAACATTAGAAGGAGACCCTACTCCACTTATCGCCGCCACTTGTCCATGGTGGTGCCGCTGCATGCCGCCAACTGGGTCTTGTTTCACAGGCATGTTTTTCCAGCGGGATTCAGGTGCTTCAATACAATCCATGTGTGATGATATCCGTTGTGTTTGATTGCTATAAACACATGTATGATTTGACTTTGACCTAGCTCTCTGATTTACATTCCCTATGGAAGACAAGTTTCCATCTTCATTTCCCTTCTTACCATGAACAGGAGGCATAATCGAGCTTAAACTATCACTGGTTTTAGGCCTATTTTCTGGAACATTCACATTATCAAGCTTCCCCTGTATCTGATTCTCAGATACAGTAACAACTCCATATATTTGCCTCAATCTCTTCTTTCTTATATCAGGAATATTCAGATTTAGATTTAAGGAAGTTGGCTCCTTACAGAGTCTGTTTAAGTTTGGAGTCGGATCTAGACAAAGTGTTGGTTTTAGGGCTTTTAATATCCGCGACTCCGCTTCCTGGAATCCGATTTTGGATTAAAATGTTAGATTCTTGTGTATTTCTTTTAAAGAAATTGGAAAGTGTATCGAATGTTTACCAATAAATCACCATATGTCCAAGCACTATCAGAAAACTGATCCATATCTTTCACCACATTATTCAATGACATCTTAAGAGATACTTTGGTAATACATGGAGAAACAACTGTAGAAAGACCATTAACTCCTTGTTCACAGAAGTCTCGCACCTTCAATAATTTCAGAAAAAATGGAAATTTTTTAAATAAAACAAAAAAAGTATGAATTATGATTACTTGCCTCGCACACAACTGCTCCATTACTGAATTTGAAAGGTATATGATCCAAAAAATATGCAGGAAGTCTTCCACATTCGATTGCCTTCAAGTATACAAGAGAAGTAATTAATGAAAGGAATGAAAGGAAAAGTTACTTCAATATGAATACAGTTAAAACAAAATACTTACTGCAAACAGATTTTCAGATGTCCTATCATAAGGGAACAAAAGCTTTGGGTCATTTTGTACAGCATTTTGATGGACAATGTTAACCTAAAAGTACATGCAGAAAGGAGTTAGTAGTAAATGGAATGTAATATAAGTTAAAGAATCCAAAACAAACCTCGGATGGGTTTTTGATTGTATATCCATCTGGGAAGATGTTTAATATAAAGGATACTTCTGCATCTAAGAAACATAAAATGGAAATTTAGAGAAACATATCTGCAAAGGGAAATAGTTTTAAAGAAAGAATGCAAGTAAATATTTCATGATGCCAAAATACCTAAAATTCCAGCAACATCGTCATCATCCTGGGTGTCATCAATCTATATAAAGAATAATGTAGCTTTCATTATCGATCTTTCACAAAATTATTTGAACTGCAAAATTATAAATGGTAGAACGCATACTACTAGCAAGTATAAACTTTCTAATAATCATCAATTTTGCTAGATCATAATTCATAAGCATGTCGGTGAAAAGGGAGTTTTACTGAAATTCATCCATGCAAGATATATTACTATATTCTATACAATCTATTCAAACAAAATAGATACTAACTACTTGGAGCAATTCATAAATCCAATGATTCAAACCGATTAAATGTCTCTATACTAATAAATTTTGGGCTAAAAAATCCGTGGGACAGAGTACAATTAACACAAACCAGTTACGATCCTCTCTAAAAGAGCGTTAACTGATACTTAATTTGAACAGGGAAAGAACAATCTATATACCGATCTCTTTCGCGTACTAGGGGGGTGAATATGAGGAAGTTGAGGAGGAGCATCAACTTTGTGATTGTCTTCTAGAGCAGAAGAAGGGGATTCAGGTTTGGGTTTTAGGCGAAATCGGGTACCTTTCTTTGACACCTTGAAAGAAACCGCCATTGTAATACGGAAATTGGAGGGGAAAAAACTATATTTGTCAGTTGTGATCGGAGTGTTTCACAAGTGCATCGATAAACCCCGGCGATGAAACCGTATGAGGGTTCGTAATTACAACACCGTCGCCATAGATGGCGGAAAGTCCGAGATTTGAATTAGATGGGCGATTTGGGGTTTTTGAAAGGAGCGAGTGATGCAACTAACTAATGTTTGGATTTTAGAGTTGGATTCTGCATGTATTTTCTTCAACCCTTCGCCCCCAAGTTTCATACTTATCCCACGACAAATATAAAAAATAAATAACTAAAAAAAAATAAAAAAGAAAAAAAAAACACATATATATCTATCATTTTAATACAGAGTAAATTTGGTCATTTAGCCTTAAAGTATTTTTTTTCTTGGAATAGTTTTTACGAAACATTTTTTCTTATGGTACCTCATGAGCTAACATTGCACACAAATGATCTTTATGACTAACACCGTTAATAAATTATGTTAGGTGATTGTAAATGATGAAAATATCTTTTGTTTTTTTTAACACAAATGATCGCTCTCTCTCACACACACATACACAAAGTTGTTTGAAGATTCGTTCATTGCCTAGCCAAATTCCTTTTCAGCAAAACTAATATTCGCATGAGTAAAATGAACATCACCATTCTAGGCAACTTCATCACCAATCTCTTCTCTCTCACTTTTAATAATTTCTCCAAAATGCTCGTAAGATCTAATACAGGAACAAGTGACGTATTCCCGAAATTGAAAACCCTTGGTTATGTAAGTAATTTCTTATTCCCTCTACTTATTGTACTCAAGAACAGAGGAATAAATCAACACCTATTACATAAATCAGGAATCCGAAATAGAAACATATATTGGAGTAGTGTTCTGAAACCTGAACCGTGAGACAAAAAACGATGGACCTGGGTGTTATCTTATCGACTATCTAGACTCAACTTCATTACCACCCTCCTCCACATCTCACCGGACCTTTTCCTCTCATCACGGGAGTCCACCATCTTCGACATACTCTCTCTCTCTCTCTCTCTCTCTCTCTCTCTCTCTCTCTCTCTTGCACATGTTTCTCCCTAGCCCTATATCAGTTTTCCTTATTCACTGTTATTGCAACTGCTTAATGTTTATAGTAGTAACCAGAGAAATTTTTGGAGAAAGAATAGTAGTGGGGGTGCAGGTTGTTCAACAAGGGATTGGTGGTGGAAACAAGAGAGTTGCAGCATCGATTTAGTGATAGTGACAATGCATTGTAGAAAAAAGAAATCAGAATGAAACATCTCAATAATACGGACCAAAAATTTCATTATTAATTTACAAATAAAACCATAATAACCTAATTCACCTCATAAAAACATATGTGAAAGTATTTCAAACATCGTATCAAAACACTGTATCAAATTACATGTCTAAATATCAAAGTATAAACATCCAAAGCTGAGCAAATGGTGTGTGCACTACAATCATCCCGAGCTCTTCCCCTTGCTACCAGAAATACCTAAAAACAAAACTTAAAACTGTAAGCACGAAGCTTAGTGAGTCTCCCCAAACTACCACATACCATACATATAGTCATGCTGCTTGGAGATACGGGCCCTTCCCACACTCCGCTAACTAGGAGATACGGGCCCCGCCCATACTCCGTTATCTAGGAGATATGTACCCCACCCACACTCTATTGGCTAGGAGATACGGTCCTCGCTCACACTCGGCTAACTATGAGATATGGGCCCCGCCCACACTCAATTACTAAGCATACATACATGTATCACACAGACTACAAGTATAATCAAATCTATCATTCAGTTATATATTCATAATCAAATAATGTTATGAGATACGGGACCTGCCCACACTCGGCTAATGATGAGATACGGACCCCGCCCACACTCAGCTACTGATCTATACACACAACAAATACGGGTCGGCCTTGGTGCCTTCGACCCGTTCAAACTAGAAGGAAACTCACCTCGTAAGCTATGACATCCCCATTTTCACGGCCAGAAAAGACCGATTTTTGTTTATGTTTTATAAAAATCAGAGTACTTCTTTTAATAAAAATGTTGCGGAATTTGTTCCCAGAAAAACATGATAAATACGTTTTTAAAACATTTTCGAAGAAACGTATTTTGTTCATTTTAAAACATTTGGGATGTCATCGTTAATACAGAAACATAAGCATAAACAGAACTTACATTTATTTACACTAGTAATCTACATCTCTTTAAATCTCTCAGTGTAATGTGACTTCATATCAACACCTGTGATATAAATAAACTGAGTGGGTCAGGTTGGGAAACCTGGTGAGTACATAGGGTTTTCAACCCACAATAATATAATTATTATTTTCAAACAATCAAACAATCAACCCAATTACCCATCCCTATTATCTGCTTTATTCTTAAGGATCTACCCTAAGAATCAACTATTCCTCGTTCATACATTCCTAAGGATCATCCTAAGGAATCGGCACGAAGTCCATCGTCACCGGGGTTTAGGCACTAAGTCTGCATAGTCGCCAGAATTTATACAATAGGCACTAAGTCTGCATAGTCGCCAAGGTTTTGGCACCAAGTCTGCATGATCGCCAGGGTCTAGGTATCAAGTCTGCATGATCACCAAGGTTTAGAGTACACCGGGTGAACACATCGTTCACAACACCTACAGGTTGCGAGCCTGATAGTGTTCCACTGGACTATCTAGGATAGTCCGTGGTTGTCATCCATACTCTGCTGAATGACGGGGACATCGTTTGGGAAAAAGGCTTCTCACATCGTACACCTCTCACCCACACCTTATAGTCTATATCACCTCTCAACTCATCATCCAACTCATATTTCATCTATTATATCTACCCATGTTTTACCCCAACATTTTCGTAGATATAAAATACATATATAGTTTAAATCATTTAAAACATGTATAAAATCTTTCACTCAGCATAGACAGCAAGTATTCAGACAATATGCACACATAGCACGTAATTTATATTAAAATACTTCATATCTATGTGTAAGATGAAAGGGACTATGCACTCACCTGAGAAGGTGGTGACTCGGTACTCGGACAGCGCTTCGTTTACTTTAAAATAATTTCCTTTGACGAAACCTAGTATTATCACCACTAGATTTTAGTCTAATATTACCGTGACTAATTATTAGTCTTATTATTATTATTATTATTATTATTATTATTATTATTATTATTATTATATAAGCGTTTAAACAATACTTTCCAACTACTATGTACAGACAGGGGCCAGACATAAAACACCGGAGGGCAGGACCATTTTGGCGTATAGCACTTCTGAAATCCAACAACCCTATGCGGCCCTTTAAACCAGATTCCCCGTACCGCGAGTAGTTAAAAGATATTATAACGACACTTATATAAGTCATAATAATAGCTCAAATATTTATTATAAATTTATAATAACAATACTAATTTTAAATATAAACTATATTTAAAATAGGGTAAGCATAACTTACTTTCAAGGGGATTTTAGCTAGGAGTCGGGCTCTGCAGGGGCAGAACTTCGTCGCTGAATCTTTCTAAGAAAGATTCGTGCAGCGCTTCAGCGCTCACCTTACTATACTAAAACTACAGAAAGAGAAGTCGAATCACGAGGGACCGAAATGCTCGGGGGATAAGGAGAAAAGACTCTTGAATCAAGAGAATGGTGCAAGAAATATGAGAGCCCAAGGCTCTTATTTATACTAATTGAATTTTCAAAAACTACCCTCCATAATTACTTAATGACCTTTTAGTTATATAAACAACTAAACACCCCTCTATAATACTATTTTAAATGGATTTAATGATATTTGTACTAAACTAATGTCGAAAGAACTCAACATTAGTCTTATAATGACCGCATCGTCGATACCTTTCTAATGATATATACATATGTATATATATATATATATATATATATATATATGTACGTATACATGATTTATACTTTATTTTAATACGTAAATATGCTATTATAATTTGTAACTCGTTCATACGAACTCCGTTTTTGACGTTCTTTATATCCACGCGTAGGTGGAGACGTACTCTACAACTTTCGTTTAGACTCCGTCGGCTAATTTTGACTTTATTTTTAAAGTTATATTTTTAACAGGCCGGGACAGGATTGGTCCGTTAAAATCTCATAACTTCTTTATCCGATGTCCATTTTCGTCTGTATTTTTATCGTTACGCTACTAATAACGAGATCTTCGATTCTTGTTTAGGTTGTGTCGGCTAAAAATCAATCGATTTAAAATTCGAATTTCGGGTTGTACACCGCTAATCCGAAACTTCGAAAAATCATAACTTCTTCATACGAAGTCAGATTTGGGCGTTCTATTTATCGATGTTCTTAGTTTAACATATTCTACGACTTTCGTTTAGAGCGCTAAGGCTAAATCTCTCTCTATCATAAATTTACTATTTTACGCTTCCCGGCGCCGTGCCGGTTCCGACGCGAAACTTCGACGGGTCATAACTTCTTCGTTATAATTCGGATTTCGGTGTTCTTTATATGTACGGAAACCTTGTGACATATTCTACAACTTGGTTAAGATTAATTATTCTAAATAATCTTTTTGTAGAAAAGTCGTTTTCGACCCCTATTGCCTCTAAATTGACTAGCCCGGATCTGCGGGCGTTACATAAGCTAACTGTGAAGTCTCGTGTGAAGAATCTCTGACGGCTGCTCCAACGACTCCCCGGCTATCATTACCACAATAACACTTAGTCAGAAACTGATAATCACTCTTAGGGTAAAATAACCATTTTACCCCTAGTCAAAGTCAACATTTGGTCAAAGTCAACGTTCTAGGTTGACTCAACTTGTCGAGTTGATCCATCAACTCGTCGAGTTCTATAAATCAGAACCCTGAAATTGCGATCCAAATTGTCGGGTCACCCCCTGGCTCGCCGAGTTTCGTTACTACTCATAGTCGCGACTTAGCGAGTCAACTTGCCGAGTCATCCTCAGACTCGTCGAATTCTACCATATTTATCATCGGGACAAATTGCCTTAACTCGTCGAGTTTCTCTATGAACTCGACGAGTTCCTTTGTCTGCTTAGGCCATATTAACGGATTAAGCCTCTACATTTCAGATCTAAGCTTCTTGTTTCTCATACATACTAAAAACGTCTTTTTAAGGGTAAAGTTTCCAACTTTACCCGTTAATACCCTCATTTAACGGGTTTGCCTCACACCCTAGCTCCCTAGAAATTATATCTT